GATATCTTGTGTAGAACTCAAAGATAAATACAGTGTTATTGCGATGCCAGCACATTTGCCGACATCGCAATCCGTAAAAAAAGGCTATGGGTCAATTTTATGCGCAAAAGTTGTAGGCGTTGCACGTACGCCATGAAACCTCTAAAGCTACACAGTAAGACGTGACTTTTGTATAAAAAGTGAGTTTTCAATTTTGCCTACTTATGAAAAATCTCTTTTGTGGTTAACCTGTTTTCAAAGTTTTTGCGAAGTCTTTGCTCTTACACTGTCCTAGTAATTTGCGCCTCAAACCCTGGCTGTTGTATACACAGTAAGTTGCTGTCATCATTCGTTCTGAAAATGAAAATGGTGTGAAAATCAATCTAAAATTCAAAAATTCAAATACTCTTCGCTGCAACATTGGTTATTTGGTATACGTGTCGTGTATTGTGTAGTAAATGTTTGCATCATTATTGAAGCCGAAGTGTTTTTTTCCTAGCTCAACAACTTTGCTACCTTTGTTCAGCTCTTCCATCTCTTATTTGTGTATTAATCATTAATTAACATAATATCGTAATTCTAACATACTGACAATAACGTAATTGTCATATTTGTACAGCTGAAAAACAGATTCCTCTAATTTATATTTTGCTGGTGTCATCAGTAGTATTTGATCCCATACAAAATATGAGATTCTTCTAAAATTCATCGTCACATATTGAGAAATCAATTTGCATACCGATTATTAGATTTGACAGTCAGTACGGTGTTTTTTATTGCTGTCACATTTGCGCGTTAGAAAATGTGCGCTCTACAGCCAATTTATAATCCTAAGCCAAATTCGCGAGCTGTAGGCTTTCACAAGCATACAATTTGCTTTCGCGCAAACGTTATCGTAACCGCAAAAACACGACCCTCAACGCTAAACCTACTAGATTGTACACTGTAATAGTCTAAATTCATATCTATAAGGCAGCTATTTTTGTGTTTATTAAAATTGTGCAAATTTCCCGTATAACGCAAATCAAACTGCAAGTTTTCTAATACGCATTACACACGCGAATTCCTCGAACAAGCACTGTTACTGAGTAGAGAAAAACGTCTATATCTCTCGTATAAATTTGAATCATCCATTATTGATAACATATATTGGAATGTCATCATCTCTGAAACTTATGTCTCACATGCATTTATAGTCTATTACGTGATCGCTTGAAATTTATCAAAATTTCAGCCCTTTTGCAAATTTTTCCGATAAGCTTGGAGAGTTTGCTTTTGGAAAAAAAAACCTCAGTAGTGCTGTTTGCACGAATTGGGCTCAAATAATTTTACAGAGATATTTACTCTCTAGATTGCGACCAGATATTATTTCTTCTACGATGTACCATTTGTAAAAAAAACCAATTATTCCATTTCTTAAAGGAAGACAAGCTTTTAGCCTAGGAAGCGTTCAGCCAAGCCATTGGTAACTAAATGTACATAATGCACACTACGCGCTCTACTCCACGACTTGTGTGCTTACAATTTACCAAAATTCACGAACTTTCTTTTGAATCGTAATCTTTTTTTTTCGGATGTATGGATACATTCATTCATAAATAATCATCTCGCTACGGTTTATTAATCTGAATCAAAATGGTAATTACTACTGTTTACTAGTTATGTTTACCAATTAGTGGTCGTGAAATGCCACGCGCCATGTGCAATTTCACATATTCAGAGACAATTAGCTCAATATATGCGATGTAGTGAAGAACAAATGATTCGTTTAAATAAACTGTTTATACTTAGTAAGGAATAGTTTCCTTACCAGATCAAGGTGATTCTTACAAAAAACCACATCAAGATTCAAGTGGGCGTATCCACGTTTGTAAGCAAAACACTTGGCTTGCAAACTTCGTAAACACTTCATGCAAATTTTCAATTTTCTTAAAAGTAGTGGGATTTGTATTATTGTTTTCGTAACCTCTATCTTTTTGAGACAATGCCGCTGCAATTATGCAAAAAGGTCGCATCTCATAACGGTCAACTGTTGAGTATTACTTGAAATATTATCACAAAATGAGCATAAAATTATATCTATTTATGGCCAGATTTGCCAAAATGCTGCCATGTAAACACAGTAGCGTTACAACTAATATAGCAAGCTGGACTTACAAAACTAAAAATATCTAAATATAAAAATTTCGTTAGATAGACAGGCTAAAAAACGTATATGGGAAGCGAAAATCCAACAATGGAAGGACATTTGCTCATGGTTTCCATGTGAATGCATAATAGCTTATAGAGCATGGAACGCTGATTCCAAATCTGCTTTCCTTATTTGCAAGCTCCTGGTAGAAGAATTCTGGAAATTTTTTGCGGTAAAAATTCAATGTTTTTGCTAAGGTAAAAACAGGTGTAGATCTTTCCGTCGGCTGAAATGAGTAATGACTGACATGAGTTTGTTGGATTGAAGGTAATTAATGCAAAAAACGCCCTAGTAGGATTATGGCATTTAAGCTCATAAACTACAGTTCTGAATAATTTTATTGTCTCTGAATTTTGACTTAAAAAATTTCCATAACTTCCCTCCCAGAGCGCTTTGTAGACAAGGAAAGCAGATTCGAAATCAGCGTTCTATGCTCTATAAGATGATATAAATTTCAAATTGAAACGCCACTTCGACCAAGTATCCTTCCCTTGTAAGAAGAGTACGTGTTTTATTAGAGCCCCTATCTCCAAAGGAATTCTTTTTTTTGGTTTGCAGATTGTTTGGTTACAATCTGTCGACGATATACAAAGTGTGAGCTCAGTGAGAAGGGCAACGCGGAAGTCATTGCAGCTCTGAAGCAACGAAACTTGATAAATGTGATTTTTCTAGTCTTTTTGCGTCACATCAGTTTTATAATAGAATCATCTGTCCGATTTGCTTTAATCAAAAAACTAATGTTCGTTCCAAGCAGCTGTGGCATAAAAGGTGAACTTTTAATATCCGGCTAATGTGCTAGTGTTCTAAGGAAAGGAATCTGCAGGATTTTTGAATGATTGGGTGCTTTAATGTAGGTGTACGGTAGAAAAAGTTTCCGTAATTTGTCAAAACGGAATGAATAAACAACAAACAAATAATAAATTGATCTACTTGCAGGTGTGAAAAGCTTTATAGTCAAAAAAGTTCTGCTTATTACAGCTTACTGAAACTCATCGAATCAGTAAACAATTTTCGCTGTAGCTGGCAGTTTTTAATAGTTATTGGCCTCCTTGAATCAGTTAATGATATGAAAATATGCCAATCAAACCTCGAAGAATGTTTCTGAAATCCAAGATTTTTCTCGAACTCGCACTGTTTGTAACTTTAGAATATATTCAAAAAAATACAATCCTTTAGACATTCTAGGATTATGAGGCACTCTGTGCAACTTTTTGCACTATATTCGAAGTCCATGTAGACGGGTAGCGTGTAGTTTGCAAGTTAAATGGAGTGGTGGTCTCTATGGACATGCTTTTGCATTTGTTCTCTTGAGATTAGTTCAACTTAGAGCCCATTCCTTTAACTCTGCACTTGCTCAAGGAGTCACGCACAACATGTATTTTTGCAGCACTTTAGACATATGTAACTTATCCGGGTTTCTTGTCTTTGTTCTCAATCTTTTAGTGATGTGCCTGCCCTCCATGTTTCTTCGGCCTCGCAATCGGCTTCACTGTTTTCTCCGAAATACTCGATGAAATCTATTTTTTATTCACTCTGAATTCTTGCTCATGCATTACTACATCATTGCTTTTTCTAGTACTCTTTACCTTACTTAATGGTCTATGACTCTAATGTTATAATAAAGCAATTTATGCAAATTTGTATATTATGCATTTTTGCAGAGCTTAAGTAGTATTTTTTCGAAGAACGTCATAGTCAGCTAAATGGATGAGTGGACCATGATCTCAGATAAATTTTGCAGATCAATTCTTTGGCAGTTTACTGTTTTACCCCTCTAATTGAAAAACTACTAAATAGTCTGGATCTTGCCAGACTTGATGCTTTAATATTCTAGAAGCTACTAGTCAATTTTTTGGCATCAAAAACCATTTTTCGCAACATGTAGCTAGATATTTGTGATCGTCCTTCATCTGAATTGCTTTACAACTTAACTTTGTCAAGTAATCTTTACTTTCAGTTTTTCTCCTATTTTTGCATTTTTATAATAGATTAGCGCGAGAGATCTCCTCTATTTCGAAAAAATCGTAGTTTTCCAAATCTCAAAAGATTTACATTAATTTGGTTTCTGAGAAAGAGAACATATGCTTTGTATTAGCTTCTGTGCTTCTTTCTGTACTCGTATCTCGATTTTTTGGGATCAAGTCCATCAATAAAAACTTAAAACATTGCCGTATATCTTAAAATTGTTAATATTAGCTCGTCACATACTTCACGAAAACAATCTGCAAAACTTTTAGAAAATATTGAAATTTCGAGCCCACTCAATAATTAGCTGAATTTTCAAGCTTTCGAACGGTGACTTTCGAAAAGTATAGCTTATGGATGTAAACATATGATATCATTCTTTGCTTCCATTGCGGGAAAGTTTCAGATAAAACTCGAAAAAGAAGAAAATAATTCTTTTGTTTATGTCATGTTTTTTCACGAAAATTGCCAGAGCGCCTATAGTAGGTGATATTTTGAAGAGATCTCTGACGAATAGACCAGGAAATAATTCTAACCTCGATCTTTGCTTACCACACTTGCCACACTTCCTCAACTTATCCTTTAGAAGCGGTGCTGTTTTCACAGCCACCTACGAAATCGAACATGTTCGAACGCCCACTTTGCCAAGCCTCGCTTTTCACTCACAAATCCCACATTAATTCGAGAAGAATATCATTTTAAAAGCTGTATCTCACTCTAGTAGAAATATTCCATCATCCACATCATCATGCATACCTAATTTTCGTGCAAGTCTTAATTTTTCCCCACTTTTTCTCGTCTCACATCGATTCCAATAAAACTATTGCAAATGGCCCTGAAGCATTAGTACAGGTGTGAGATCCGCATGTCTTCTGTTGACGACGACTTTCTGGATGTTGATGAACTTGAAGAATCGTGCGTATTCTTCGAATGTTATTTGTATCCATTTTCACAGGTAAACAAACTGTTTGGATACTGTAGCCATTTTTCCAAAAAAAAATCAAAATATTCTAGGTCTACGACGGGATTCATATACCACTTTCTATTAGCATATGCATCTTTGGTACTATTTCAAACATCTTCAATATAATCGTTTTGACAAGGTAATTTTTCACTAACTCATTTTTTAAAAAGTTTTTTTGTCTCTATCGAATAACCTCATTCATAAATTCGAATTCTGTGCAAGCCATGAATTTTTGATAAGAGATCTTTACATCATTTTGCAATAGGGAATAAAGTCAATCATTTGCCAAAAGTTCCTAAGTGTCGCAAATAAAAAAACTCTATTGACGGAAGTTATCGTTTTGTGTCACGACATATTTTTTAGATTTTCTGAATCTTTAAAACTACAAGGTCCATAATGTACAGGTTCATAAGGCACTCCTTATATTCTAAAAATTATTATAAGAGAACACCTCATGTCACGATAAACGGAAAAACCTGTCACATTTCTCTTTTTTAGTGTTTTTTTTTTCATTATTCCATTTTAATTCAAGAGTTTTACAATATAGTGAAGAAGCAACGATTTTGGCTCATTTGTTATTCATAGATCTGATTCATCACTTCCGCTTTTTCATATTTTGATCTACGTATCCTTAACGGTCTATTGCCCAAACAAGGATCTCTTCGCCTTGAATGTCTGACCATTTGATTAATTAACGCATAGACGTAAATTCCTCAACTTCGAATTCCTTTACATTGACCTGAACTTTTGGATACTTAATTTATAAATGTAAAGGCATTTTCTCTTCTCATCCTGCTTATCTGCTTATAGACAAGGAAGCGTTTACAATAGAAAACATAATAGGATAATGTCCATCGTCATTTAGTGCGACAAATTAACACGAACTATTCATGGAACTAAATTGAGGCTTCACCATTCCTGTTACCGTTGAATTTTTAGACAGGACTTGATTGACAGTAAAGAAAGCCCTCTATGGTATTCTTTCAGAAACTCGAAACAAAAGTAATTTAATACTTGCAAAGTAAACGCAGACATTTGTTAGCATAGTTTCAAGAAACCTTGGTCTTTGTTTCAGTCCAGATAAAATTGAAAACGAAAACCGTTAGAGCTGAGCTTAGATAGACAAAGTATTTTGGCAATTTCTTTTCAGTCTTGCATAAAAAATGTAATAATTAATGTAGATAGAAATCTACAATTTATGATGGTTAAAAATTACTTTGAAGTTTTGAACAATGCTACGAGTACTACTTTTTCCATTAGCAAAAGGCGTCGAGTTTTTTTACAAAGAATATTCAACAGCTTTTTATACCCGGACCATTGAAGCCCATGTTGAATTTCACAGAATGCAATAGATTTTCCAAGGTCTATGATGGGAAAACTGCAGCAAATTCCTGCAGAAACGCATAAATTATAATGACATTATTTCCATGCTACATATCTACATGCATTCATAACGAAACCTGCAAATGTAATCGGGCTTTTCTATGGGTACTAAAAATGCAGTTTTGACTCTCACGCAATGTTGCCGAAAATTCCCGAGTTTTTGTTTAAGTAATTATGTGGGAAATGGTTTTCGATTCAATGTCTTTGAAATAAGCAAACCCAAAATGATGATTTTTGAGAAATAAAGAGCGAATATGCCCATACATATTTTGGAAGCCAGCATTGGCCACTTGATGTCGTTCCCAAAGAGATTTGAAAGATTTATAAGGCTTCCAACAAAAACGCGGAAACTGCTGTTTTCGAAGTTTTTGTTGAATTCTTACCTATTTCCAACGTCAATTTTTGCAGGAAAAAAATGAGAAGCCCAATCAACATACTGCTTTGTGGGCTATCAGCAGCACAGTGGCTATTAGCGTCTAATTATCTTGCATTTCTTATAATAGAGCACTATCGGATGCAATGGTAGGTTTATTAATTTTCTTTCAAATATTTAAGATTGAAGGTACAGCAGGAGTTGTGAAATCTTCTTTATTCTTCCCATTCCAAACTCATTCTCAGCTGATCACATAGTAAAAAATTCTTGGATTGTACCCAATAAAAAACACCATGACTAATGGAGGAAGAAGTAGGCGTGTGGCAGTGGCGTCAGTTTTGAATCTTCCGCGAAAAGTACGGTAAATGACATACTCCGCCGCTAGAGCTTTTGGCGCCAAAACGAGGTAGTGACATCTGACCAATGACGTAGCGAAGGGCGCAGCAAAAGTTTCACCTTTCGAAATTTCTGAGTTCTTTTTCGTATTTTGGCCTGCATCACTACCATTTGATAAATGATAAACCGAATTTGACAAGCGTAAATTTCCATTTCTGAAAGCAAGCCAGACTGTTTATTAGGTTGTCCGGAAATTAATGCCCGTTTTGAATTTCAACCGCAAAAAGTCATACACGTCTCTCTTTTAAATGGGTTGCAAAGTACCATTCGATAGAGCAAAGCAAGCTCTACAAGAAGGCCATCTTGCTTTTGCAACAGCTCTAATCCACCACGAGTTTCGAGCCAAAAACTAAAAAGATTCAACTGCCGGAAAAACTGAGAAAAATCGTAACTTAGTTCTTAAAAATCCTACAAAAATTCTAACTTGCTCACGTAAACACTATCCACATAAAACATCTATATACGCCGTTGCCGTATTATTTTCTCTGTTAGAAATCAAGAAAACGGAAATTTTCGTGCATTTGCCAAAGTGATGCTGTGCCGTTCCCACATAGGTAGTAGTATACTACAGACCTTTAGAAGTACATAAATTTCCAGCTCTCTACAAGCTTTAGTTCTCGAGAAATATCGAATACAGTTTTCCCTAGTCATGTGGTCCAAGCCAAAATTCAAATTTCTCAAGAACTAAAGTTTGTAAAGAGCTGGAAATTTACGTTTGTACTTCTACAGGTTTGTAGTATACTACTACCTATGTGGGAACGGCACAGCATCACTTTGGCAAATGCACGAAAATTTCCGTTTTCTTGATTTCTAACAGAGAAAAAAATACGGCAACGGCGTATATAGATGTTTTATGTGGATAGTGTTTAGGTGAGCAAGTTAGATTTTTTGTAGGATTTTTACGAACTGAGTTACGATTTTTCTCGATTTTTCGGGCAGTTGAATCTTTTCAGTATTTGGCTCGAAACTCGTGGTGGATCAGAGCTGTTGCTAAAGCAAGATAGCCATCTTGTAGAGATTGCTTTGCTCTATCGAATGGTACTTTGCAACCCATTTAGAAGAGAGACGTGTATGACTTTTTGCGGTTGAAATTCAAAACGGGCATTATTTTCCGGACAAACCTAATAGCTTGTAGAATAGGTTTTTCTGCATTTACACAAATTTTACGGCACCTCACATTGTTTGCTTTTTTGGCCTTAATTTGAGTGGGATACGCCAGCAGCACGTTGTTAGCTCGTTAGTTTCTGCTCTAAAGCAGCTTTTGTAAACTTAGTCTTGTAATCCGTCTTAAATGTTTTTATTGAAGATTAATCCTTGCATTATCGCTCATAAAAAGATAATCTTGTAGCCATACGCCCTCTCAGAGTTTTTACAAGTAATCTGGAAAAAAACTACTATGTAACGAGAGCAAAGTAAATATAGCAAAGATTTGAGGGACTACTAAACCGTGCCTAGTCACTTGTCAGGGGGATAGGAGGGGAGGGGGCGTACGAAACGGATTCTTTTGCATAATTATGAGCATCGTTAGCTTGAAAATTTCTTGGATGGTTTCCAAGATTCAACCGGGCCTATAACAAACTCCAAAATTTATCAAAACAAGGCTATTTCAAATTCAAAAAAAAATTTTTTTCAAAAACTAAGCCCATGCAAGCTATCTCCCAATAACTTGCAATAATTTTTGCAGAAGTGGGGGAGGAGGGGTGGGGGTTAGGCCTGCTAATTTTATGAGGATGCATACCGCAAATATCATAAATCATTTTTTTCTCAATTTTCGCTGACTCTGATTTATGTATGAGTCCCATGCAAATTTTTCGGTCTCTCCTCCAAAAAAACTGCAAAAATGGAAACCACAAGTGACGCAGAAATTCTTGCGCAGTGAAGCAGAAATGGCGGATGTGGTCTGCTCGTGAACCTTTTTTTTTTGAAACTGAGAAAATGAACTTTTTGCTCTCAGATCATTGATCCACATGTCGTATTCACATAGCTCAATGACCAAATCTCTATAGATATTAGTATAGAGAATGGGCTGAAGCACCTTCATTCTATCCTGCACCCTTTATTAGTCTCGAGATGAGGCAAAATAGGATTAGTCTTTGACGCATCGCTAATAGCAAATCACTTGTTGTTATTATGTAGAATACAAAAAGCTAAACCTCGTGATTAACCTTGCTATAATCTCATGGCTATTGCTTCGATATAACAGTTAGAGAAGGGGATTTGTCAGGAAAAATAAAAGTGTTTCAAAAATATAGTTGAGATGAGTTGAAAGTAAATAATAAAAAAGTCGAATAACAATAATTTGGAAAAGCGAAGGAAACACAGAAGTAAACTATTCCATACAACTAATGATAAGTACTATTTGAGAATCAAAACAAAAATGGGTTACAATCTATAATTTTGAAAAAAAAGCTCTAAAATCATAATATGTGATTATTAATACAAGATTTGTGGGCCTTCCTACTGTGCAGTTACAGATTAGTCCATAAATTATTTCATTCAGAAATGAAAAAGTAGGGGAAATAGTAGATAATAACTATTGGTGCATATAAAATTTATATTCATATTTATTTTGTGTATTTTTCATAATATTCGTTATCAATCTTCAATGTAGGATATATCATTATCATGTTAATCCAGGGCTTTGTTTTTCAAATTCTTTTATTTTGCATTTACCATAGATTTATTTCCCTGATAGGACGGTATCATGTTCGTTCAGTGGTTTCTTTTTTCGTTTAAGTTTTTCTTTTTGGCACACCTCGAGTGTATTGAAACAATAAATAAGTAGATGTACATGTCACCAAAACATGTAACAAAGACTTTACTTATGTAAAAATAACACATTTTTTAATTTAGTTTCGCACTTCTATGGTCCGAGGCTCTCACCTGGTATCGATTCTTTAATGTAAACTTAAACGTAGTTTTTCACACCAGTGAGTTCTTGTTTACAATTTCAGTCAAGCGCACAATTATTCCGTAGCAGACACCTTTTTTGGCTCAAATTGTTACGAGCGTGGGCTAAAAAGCCTATTTTTAGTTGCCTTCTTGACGACGATCATCGTCGCTGTGTACAGATATTTTGCCGTCAAATATCCGCTCAGGGCAAGTTCATACCTTTACAAGCCCCACATTGCTGTTGGTGCTAACATTGCTGTATGGATTATTGTGCCATTAATGTGCGTTCCGGTATTTTTCATTTCAAAGGTAAAGATTTACTTTTCTGTTTTACTACTTCAACGGCAGTGCGCATGCAAATCTGAGTGCCTGGTATTCCTATTAACCTATTTGGAAACATTTAACTATGCCGTTGCCCAAGCGACAACCTATGAGATTCCTTTGTGTCCGAAATATACAGTACTATACCATCGCCCAGTACCCGTACCCGTGCCGCCCTTACCGCCCTCAAGTACAGTAGTGGGCGAGACTTCTAAGTATAGCTTAGGCAATGCCTTACTCAATTTCCCCGCAGTCACTATTTCTAGAAGAATCCCACGTACACACAGATTTGTTCCAACCCTGCCTTTGAAAATAATTTTTATAAAGACCTCTTGTTCAATGTTTTTTTTATAGGTGAAGGGCATAGATGGTGATTATATGAACTGTTCATTCACCGAACCTATGTTTGATCTTAACTACCAAGCAAATCCAGTGCTTGTATCGGCAGTATTCTGGATGTTTGGAATCGTTTTGAAGCTGATTCCATCACTCGTTTTAACAGTTCTGCTCATTGCTCTTATCAGGTAAGCTGATTACCTATTTATGTCAGTGATTACGAATTTTAATCTCACAAGAATGTCCAATAACATTAGAAATTTTATGGGTAAAATTAAAAAAATCGAACCCGTTATATTGGTGCGCTACATTGGGATGGAGATAGGAAGTTTTTCGCTCACTTTCAAGCTTCATACTTGAAATCACGAGAACGATAAAGTCTGAGAACGACAAGAATATGCAAGTCAAATATACGAATGAGCCCCTTACTTCCATCCTAACCAAGGAAGTTTTTCGAATCCATGAACATGCTACCTATGCCAACTCCACCCATCCATGATTTGGTTCCAACTCCGCCCATCCATGATTTGGTTCCAACTCCGCCCATCCATGATTTGGTGCCAACTCCGCCCATCCATTATTTTACAGTAGCGACTGTAAAATCTACGAGATCAGCGGATATTGTGGAATATGCTAATCACTTTGAAATAAAAGCAATCATGCCAATGCCTAGTTTTCATGTAGAACAAAAGAAGCGGGAAATTTTTGACTCAGAGTTCTTACTGCAAAATTCTATTTTCAAGCTTTTGACAGCTAGTGATAAAACCTATTTCTGAACTTGTACATCTCCACAATTTTTCTAAAATATTATTTTGTGAGCTTATAATGTACTTATTTACATACCGAATGTTAAGAAAATTTGAAAGCATGAGGTTTATTGGATGTTTGAGCAAAATTGTTATGAACACAATTTTTATGAAGTATCTTATAATCTAGTTAACATCTCAAACGATTTCGAAAGTGATTTTATGTGAGCATTCTTTAACAAATTTGAACCTGAAAACTCAATTCTCCAATTTCTCTAAAGCCGTCGTGCTTGTTTCTGTTCATTCGCGGTATAGAAACCAAAAATAAACGCTCAAAAGCAAACAACTGCTCAGATCAAATTACTCGAACATTTCTCACTCCAGATCATTGAAAAGCGTTGAAAGGAGGCGTAACAAATGGAAACATGCCACCAGGCCACGTTGTACAGGATCCGATGCCAGAGCTGGAAGAAAATTCTCTTCAAGACCACGAACGACCAGAATGCTAGTTATAATATTGCTCTTATGCGTCGTGGTGAGTTTGTTGCCTACTTATCTTGGAATAATTCACTTGTCAGATACCAGTTATCATTCGTTTCAAAAAGGGATTCCTTGATATAGGTCGAGCTTCCAAACGGCATACTTAACTTGCTTATGGCAATTTACGGGGAAGAGTTCGGGATTCGCATCTACGATCATGTTGGTAGCTTTATGGAAATGTTAACACTACTGTACAGGTGCGGTAAAAAAATATAAAATTTTTACAATCTTGTACAATTCTACTTTTCAGTTCTTTGAGTTTTGCCTTGTATTGCTCTATGTCAAATGATTTTCTGAGAACTTTTCGGGCTTTGTTTATACCTTGGCTGGACGAATACAATAGTACTAGCTACCATGGTAAGCCTTCAATCAGTTCTTGTCAGCTCGTAGATTCGACGTTCAATATAGGTGTTTTTGCGTTGCTGATAACACTAAGAATAGCTAGGGGTCAAAACTTGGTATGTGGTTTCTACGGATGATTTTCACGCGCAACTGTTGTCGGCACCGCAGTGCACTACATTGCCCGTCATATTTAGTGACAGACATTAGTATTCAACCGGCTATATTCATAAAATTACATTTTTTTTTTGCTCTTTAGGTAGCTACATCGCCGTCAATTCGTCCTTGGCTGGGTTCTGTAGAATTAGAAGAAGACCGTCAAAATCGATTACAAATCGCTAAGGACCATGTTTTTTCGTAAATTCATATATGCGTGTATACACATTTGATACTCAGTGCCAAAATCATTCACTATTGATAAATACTGTTTATTAGATAATGTTCTATCATTTTGCAGTTCTCGTCTGAAACGAGACGAAAATCGCTGCCATGGACAGTGTTCATTTCTATCGCCGGAATATTAAGATTTTTGCCAACACATTCACTTTATTTCGCTATGTTACATGTGTAACTACAAAAGCGACATCATTGTCTCAGTTCTTCTCAAAAATTTTACAGTAAAGAACGACTTTTCGACTACTAAGTTGTATAACTGTTTATTCGATAGTAGCGGAGCAGCCGCTGACTATCAACAGTGAATATCCGGAACAGCCGCTGACGATAGTGGTAATAATCGAACCAACAACAGAACTGAGTATACAGGCCCTTTTATGCCACTATTTTGGGCGTGGATAACCTGAATGCTCACTTCTGGTAAACAACAGTATCATACAGCATGAAGGATTGCCTACATGAAAGTAGGCGCCGCCAAGTATACTATCAAACACAGTGGAGGGGTGATCTAGCGGCTCAAGTGGTCAGTGAACACTAAGGTTTGTCAAGGACAAGCTAGTAGATATACTAAATATAACATACATGATGAATCTACAGTGATAAAGTTTGTAGATTATTTAGATAATCTACGACATTGGAACAAAGTAACAAAATGCTCTCGTCGTCTTTCATCTGTGAAAAGCAATTTTAAATTTTTTGTTTTTTCAGTAACGAAGAAAATCTTACTTAGAAGTAAAACTTTAGAATCACAAAATTCAAAATGTTCGATTGACAAGTTTTAGCTTAACTGATATTTCAGTCGAGAAAAGCTTTTTTTGTTGAAAATGGATTAAAATCTATTTTAGTTGTCGTTTCCGATTTATTGAGAGTTCATTTTTCTTTAAACTTACCCATCTTTGAGTTTTACTCAAGTTTGAATTGCTTGAGTTTTAGATATTCATGATTGTCAGTTTTTTACTCTTCATGCATTTATTAGGTTGGCACTAAAGTTCGTTCGCACCATTTTCAAAAATTCATAACTCTTTACGTTCTCAATGAATTTGTACGATCAAAATTTCTCTTGAGAGAGGAACTCATGCTCTTTGCATCAGTACCTAAATTGTTCGTTATTGTGAACAGATGAAGGAGATAGAAGCTGAAAACCAAAATTACTCAAAATTTGAATTTTTCGTGTAGGCTCATAAAAAATCGGAAACTTGCAACAAAAATCGGAGCGGTCGGTGTTGTAGGTTCTTTCACCAGCTCTTTCCTACAGCGCAAAGTTTGCGCCGATTGAGCGTTTCTATGAAAAGTTACGATTTTCCTGGAAAATGCCAAAATAAATCAAATTCGCCCTTTTGTAGTGCTTGCTCGAAAATCATAACTTTTCATAGAGACGCTCAATCGGCGCAAACTCTGCATTGTTACAAAGAGCTGGTGAAAGAACCTACAACACCGACCGCTCCGATTTTTGTTGCAAGTTTCCGATTTTTTATGACCCTACACAAAAAATTCAAATTTTGACTAATTTTGGTTTTCAGCTTCTATCTCCTTCATCTGTTCACAATAACGAACAGTTTAGGTACATGATGCAAAGAGCATGAGTTCCTCTCTCAAGGAAAATTTTGATCATACAAATTCATTGAGAACTTAAAGAGTTATGAATTTTTGAAAATGGTGCGAACGAACTTTCGTGCCAACCTAATAGAAACAACCATTTTAGTATTTCTTGTGATAGATGAAATAAAATCAAGACCAGAACAAAAAAAAATAGTTTAAGGTACATTATTACTGGACATCTATTTACAGAAATACGGAAGAAACCCCCTGTTGCAAAGTACCGTAATAAAGAGCTCCAGAAACTCCATTTTCTTACAATCTTTTGTTTTCCAAGGTTTTTACTGGACTAATTCTCCGAGAAGAACAGAGACACAAACCTTTCCGATCAACAGACTTCGTGTTTGATAAGCAATCTGTCATGTCTGATAAGTTGCGTCTTCCCAAGAAAACAAACTTTTATTTACAGTAAACATGATCAGCTTGAGAAATGCTCAAACAACACAAATACAGAGATTTACGTCGAGTATCAATATCACTACCGAATCAAACGCTATTCAAGATCATCTGCTATGAACTCCACACATTTGAGCAAATGTGAGAAAATGAGGTGTTCTGATGTAGAAATGCATATCGTGAGGATTCGAATTGACACGCAAGAAAAAAATAAGCTGGAATTACAAGCAGAACAAAAAAAAAGAATCTCTATACATAGTTATAACGAATCTAAAGACCAGTTACCAGTGACACGAGAAAGATGAGCAATGAGTAGAAGGTAAGGCAAATAGGTGAGGATGAACAGTCAGCTATTCCCAGTTTATTTGTACAATTCCGCAATCTCGTCCTTGAAAGCCTTTTCAATGGCTTTTCTTTTCAGTTTGAGTGCTTCAGTAAGCAGGCCACTAGCCGGGGTCCATTGCTCAGAGCAGAGGTGAATTTTTTTCGGGATCTCGACTCTTTGTAGTTTGCCTGGAAAAAGGTACGACTTTTAGAGCATAAAAGAATTCGAAAACTCAAAAACTGCCTTGGGAAGATCTAGGAATGGCATAAAGTTATACCTGACACATGGGATTGAATTTCCTTCAAGAAAGCATCAACCACGTTTTTGTTATGGCAGAGTTCTTCAATGTCATCGGATGAGACATCAAGCTGTAATCAAGAAAAACTTCTTGCGCTTTCATGAGCAGAAACAAAATTTCAAAGGGAGAAACGTTGAAATACACTACCTTAGAAGAAGGAAAAAAATAAGGGCAACACTCGCGCATCAAAAATTGCCGTAGGGCACAAGCTCAAAAATATTCGCTTAGTGGCCATTTTCTACGCGCAAATGTTGTCGCTACCGCAGTTGCACTTATCACCGTCAAATATGCTAGACTTTTATCTGTAATTCAGTTTTTTTACTTCTGCTCACCTCTTCCCCAAGTCGCTTCAGATTTTTACGCTCCGGAACGATGAGCGCAACGATGTAGTCTTTTGAAGAATCGCCATAGGCACACACATTCTCTACCCAATGGTTTGTCAGAATATGTGTTTCAACTTTTCCTAGTGAGATGTACTCTCCATGGGCCAACTTTAGAAGATCCTTCTTTCGATCTGTAAAAAATCCTCTTGTGAGAATTATGAATATTTTACTATTTGTGGTTCTTACCAATAATCATCAAAGACCCGTCCTCTCTGAATTCTCCAATATCGCCGGTGGCAAAGAATCGTTTACCATCTCTCAAAACAAAGTCCTCCTAGAATGGGTCATAATATCAAGCTGGATGTGTTTTGCACAAAAATTTTTCATAAGACATTTTCTCAGAAGATGTGAATTCTAGATCCAACGATTTCATTTGGTACAATATGGCTAATAACGAGGGAAAATCACAATGTTGACGTATCAGAGCAATAGAAGCGGAAAAAAATACTCATGTTATAATTTTCTGAATTTTGGGCGGTGAAAGTCCTAAAAGCTTCACAAACCTAGATTTATTTTGAATCTTAGTTGCACTATTTCCTTTTTCTAATGAAAAAAATTCAAATTGCTTTTTTAAACGTAAGAAAATTGCGTGGGCTAGTTGTTTCTACTGTTTTGATTCGCAATTCTTGACCCTCCATTCTAAACAAAATTCAAATCCGCACAAAAAATAGCTACGCGCTCTAAAAAATATGTACTAATAAATGAACTGCGATTTTCAAAATATTTTCTGAGTAGAATTTTCGTTGTTTTTAGTGCTAGATTTATAAACCAAACTGATAATTTCACTACAGTTGAAAAAAATCCAAATTATGGCACTCACCTTTGTCTTCTCATCGTTATTCAGATATCCCAGTGCAACGTTCTTTCCACCGATTAAAATTTCTCCTTGTGGTTTATCATTCTTTGGGGAGTATCCGGCTAAATAAAAAATTTATAGCAAATTTTGCCAAAAAAACTTGATAGAATATGAAAAAATAATCGATTTTGGACAGGAATATAAGTTCAGAAGTTGTTTTTTTCTACCCTTTTTTTCGGTTTCACGCACAAGTTATTAGTCGTTACTGCGCAGAAACTCCGATATGTTTTTATTGTCTCTTCCAATTCTCACTTTCTGTCTGATCATTATGTAGAGGAATATCTCACCTTCTGACCATTCTTCCAATATGATTTCACAGCAAGTTAGAGGTGGTCCAACACTTCCAGTTGAGAGATCGTGTGCTGAAATATTTCAGTTTTGTTTTCTTTTCCAATTTCTATACATTTTCTCTTTCTCCATACTCACCATCTGCTAAGGTTCCGCCTCCACAAGTTTGTCAAACCATATCCTTGGATAACCGGACAGCAGAAGCAGATGTTCATAAACCTAGAAGTTCAATACTAACTTCTAATAAAATTCATTTGTCAAAAAAAAAGCCTCAAAAAATTCCTGGAAATAACCTTTGCGTTTCTGGACTTAGCGGTGCACCTCCAGACAGCACACAGCGAATTTCTCCTCCAAGCAATTTTCCAATTCGATTAAATACAAGCCTAAATGTTTCGAAGTTATAAGTTAACAAAATAAATATATTCTAGAGAACCATACTTGTTGAGAATGAAGCTAGTGTAGCCTTCCTCATATCTGGCCCTTTTCCTCTCATAGTATGCTTTGAACATTTCTCGGAATACATAGAAGACTGTTTGAGTTGACTTCTTCAATCACAGCTTTGTGGATTCGATCCATGACAGCCTGAAGAATGGATTTAACTGAAAATTATGATTGCCAAGTAACAATAATGGAGCTGCAGATTTTTTTACGATGGGGGTGGTGGGGGGAAAGTAAACGCGACTTGTTCAGGAGGAGAATTTTGAAAAATTTTCAGAAAAAAAAATGTCGGAGAATGCTCATCACGTTTTCAAACGGCAAACATAACTTATCCATGTCTAGAAACAGTGGCAGACTGTTTGGCTTGTAGGATAGGTTTTTCTGCATTTACACAAATTTTATGGCACTTCACATTGTTTGCTTTTTTGGCGTTAATTCGAGTGGGATAGACCAGCACGTTGTCAGCAGGTTACTTCTTGCTTAGCAGCTTTTGTAAGCTTAATCTTTTAATCCGTCTTAAATGTTTTTTGAAGATCAATCCTTGCATTATCGCTTTCAAAAAGGTAACCTTGTGTCCATACGCCCTCTCAGAGTTTTTACAAGTATTCTGGAAAAAGCTGCTATATAACGAGAGCAAGATACAGCAACCGATTTGAGGGACTACTAAACCGTGCCTAATCACTTGCCAGCGGGATAGGAGAGGGGGGGGGGGTGCGTACGAGACGGCTTCTTTTGCATAATTATGGGTATCGTTAACCTCAAAACTTCTTGGATGCTTTCCAAGATTCAAGCGGGCCTATAATAAACTCCAGTTTATCAAAACAGGGCGATTTCAAATTTCAAAGAAAATTTTCTTTCAAAAAATGTTGTAATTTACAATCAAAAACAAGCCACTTTCACTAAGCCCATGCAAGCTACCTTCCAATAACTTGCAATAATTTTTGCCGAGGTGGGGGGGGGGGCTTAGACTCAACTTACACATTAATTTCACGAGGGTCCATCCCCAAATATCATAAATCATTTTCTTCACTTTTCGCTGACCCTGATTTATGGACTCCCTTACAATTTTTTCTGTCTCTCCTCCAAAAAAACTGCAAAAATGGAAACTAAACGTGACGCAGAAATTCTTGCGCAGTGAAGTAGAAATGGCGGATGTGGTCTGTTTGTGAACCTTTTTTAAAACTGAGAAATGAACCTTTTTGCTCTCAGATCATTGATCCACATGTCGTATTCACATAGCTCAATGACCAAATCTCTATAGATATTACTTACTTACTTAGATACTTAGATGGCCCGTCCTCACGTGACGTGCGGGCCCCAGTACAGAAGTCGCCATTGATCCCTGTCCCTCGCTTCGGACATCCACGATCTTCTTGGTCGTCGTCGGTGGCTGCGTCCACGAGTTCCAGGGGCAAGAATCGTATCCAGCTGATTTCTCAGCTGGTCCATCCGTTCCACGAACACGTCTGCCCATCTCGTTGGTGGCCTTCCTCGAGGACGTTTGGCTTCGCGAGGAATCCACTCAGATGTTCTTAGTGTCCATCTATCGTCCGTTCTTCTCATTATGTGACCGGCCCATCGGTGTTTCGCTTTCGCAACGTATTCCGCTGGGTCACGAAGACGGGACATTCTTCTCATATCCGTGCTGCGAAGTCCGACTAGATGTTGCTTGTGTCGGGTCATCTTCAGAAGACTGCGCTCGAGCGCTCTGTGGGTGGTCCTTAAAGCTTTCGACGTGGCTACGGTGTCGGCCCAAGTCTCAGCTGCGTAGCAGAGCGCTGGGAGAACGGTTGAGTCGAACAGGTGGGCACGAAGCTCCGGGTCCGTCAGTTGGTCGGTGGCTTCCTTCAGAGGCCCGAAGGCGGCCCAGGCTGCTCTTCTTCTCCTGTTAAGTTCTTCCCTCAAGTCGTTCTCCATGTTCATCGAACGTCCGAGATACACGTAAGAAAACGTCTCCATGATAGGGGTGCCTTCCAATTCCATTTCTGCATCTTCGCAAAGGGCGTTCTTCATGAACTGAGTCTTCTTCCGATTTATTCGCAGTCCGATCTTCTTCCCTACTTCGTTTAGTTCCTTCAGCATCGCCTCTGCTTCAGTGATACTGCTCGAGAAAAGGACGATGTCATCCGCAAAACGAAGGTTGGATAGGAATCTCCCATCAACTCGTATGCCTCTCTCTTCCCAGTCTAGTGACTTCATCACCCACTGCAAGGCCGCGGTGAACAGCTTCGGCGAAATAGTGTCGCCTTGTCGAACCCCCTTCCCAATTGGAATGGTTAGGGGGCGATGGAATAGCTGCATCGTTGTTGTACAGCCCTTGTAGCAGTCGGCTAGTGTCCTCACGTAAGCTGGTTCCACTCCTTGATCGACTAGCGCAGACAGGATGGCGTTGGTTTCGACGCTGTCAAAGGCTTTCTCGTAGTCGACGAAGGTTAGGACGAGAGGCAGTCGGTACTCCCGGCAAACTTCTATGACCCTCGAAACCGTCTGGATGTGGTCCATGCAGCTGAATCCTTTGCGAAATCCAGCTTGTTCTTGGGGTTGGGCTTCATCCAGTGTCCTAGATATGCGTGCGAGGATAATCTTCGTGAAGAGCTTGTACAGCACACTCAGCAGGCATATTGGACGGTAATTTCGAAGATCTTCCCGTTCACCCTTCTTAAAAAGAAGGACGGTTCTTGACGTTCTCCACTGGTCGGGTATCCTCTCCTTCTGAAGGTAAGATGTCAGGTGCGACGCGAGAATCTCGTGTAGACGTTGTCCTCCGGTTCGCAGAAATTCGACGGAAAGATGGTCTGGTCCTGGAGCCGTGGATGTCTTCATGGTCTGGATCGCCGTGCGCACTTCAGCAGGTAGAATTCGTGGTGGTACTTCTCCAGTGGGAACAACGGGCATCGGCACGGGTGTTGATGAGCGGAAGAGGTTGGTATAGAAGTTCTTCGCTATAGATTCCATCTTGTATCGGGAAGAAGTCGGAGTCCCGTCTTCGTTCAATAGTGCAGCCAGCGGTACGTGATATTCACAGAGGTCCCTTCGGCATTTCTTAAGACTTCGTCTTTCTTCGGCTGCTTCCAGTATCTTGGCTTGCCTGTACTTCCTGAGATCCTCCTGCAAAGCTGTTCTGCAACTGGCGTTGGCTATCAGTCGCTCGAGATGGGTTGCATTCGGATCCTGCCTCAGAAATCTTCTTCTTTCGAGCAATTCCTTGGTGGTCTTCGATATACGTTCCAAGTTCTTCTCAGAAGTCACTGAGGCACATTCTCCGCAGGCTCGCAATCCTTTCAGAAGCCGGTCGTAGTCATACGTTGGGTCCTCCTCGATGGGCCAGTCACATCTTGATATGAGCTCCTCCAGCCTGTTACCGTCGTAAACGACTTCCTTCCTTCTCGCGGCACTGTGACAGACTTTCTTTTCCAGCCTTCGGCTGAGTCGTATCTTCGCTCGAAGGAGGCGGTGATCGGAGCCACTGCAGAAGGATGGAACTACTGAGACATCGAGCAAGCTCCACCTTCGGTTGGCGAGAATGTGATCGATCTCCGCGTGAGTCGTTCCGTTGGGCGATTCCCATGTCCACCGGCGATGTTCTTTCTTCATGAAGATGGAATTTCCATGGAAAAGTCGTGCGGCGGAGAGAAGCCCAACAAGACGGTTGCCGTTTTCGTTCCGGAGCCCATATCCAAACTTCCCGATCCTATATTCCTTTTCTAGTGGCATCCCGATTTTCGCATTGAAGTCGCCCACAACATACTTGTAGAAGGACTTTTCGTTGCGGACGACCTCCTCCACGTCTTCGTAGAAAGCATCTAGTTCTGAGTCGTCAGCTGCTGATGTTGGAGAGTAGCAGTTGATGATGCTGATGGTCTTCTGACGTGGAGGGCGTAGTCGTAGGATGGCTAGTCGGGGTGATAGGATCTCGTGCGAATCGACAAGATGGACGATAGATGGGTGGACGACAAAGCCAACACCTCCCACGTTTCGTGATGGAACCTTCTCACCACGAATGATGAGTGTTCCATCATTCATCTGTCGCACGTCCTTCTTCCTGGACTTCGTTTCCTGCAGAGCGATGATGTGGTACTTGATGTGCTCTGCAGCGTCGAGAAGAGCGTGGAGGTCGGCGTTTGTGGAGACTGTCCTGGCGTTGTAGGTGCAGAGCATGAGGCAGTCTCCGTGGCGTGTCGTCCGGGCAGACGTGTCGTTTTTGTCCAATCCAAAAGGCGCCCTGAGGACCCTGACATCAGTCTTGCTACCACCCGGCGCCGTAGGCGGGATCCGATGTACAGGGTTTCTTTCTATTCTTCTAACTGGTAGAGTAATGAAATTTTTCCCCTACAAG